AGACAGACTAAAACTAAAAGACTAACTCACGACTAATTTTATACTAAGCTTGAATTAAGCTTACTCACTAAAACCTTAATATCTCCTCGTCCACAGACCCGCGCAGATAGCGAAGGCAAATTTGAAATCAGCGTTCCAAGCTCTATAAAATAGCATACGTATCATCTTGAAAGCCATTTCGACCAACCTTCCTTTGCTTGTAAGGTTCAAAGAATAGACCAAATCATCAGTCACTCTTCATTATTGTAGGGATAACTGAATGAACTTCCGGCATAAAGCGCCACTGTATAGGCCTTTTGATGGAAAAGTTCCAGAATCTGAACTTTAACAAGGTTTTCAGGCTTGCTGATTCCACTACAACCTTTTCACCATTTTTGCAGAATTACAATGGTGTAATCGGACTTCTGACGGACATAGTTGTTACCGTACCTGAAATAACTTAGAATAAGCGTTACAGTGAAGCGCAAATTTTATGCTTAGAATAAGCGACTTCCGTTAGTATAGTACAAAAGTTTCTGGCTTTTTTGCCCCTTCTGAGGCAAAAATTGCTTCCACTTTCCTAAAATCCCTCTCGAAGTTCATCCGTAGTCCCACAGTAATGAAGAATGATTGATGATTCGGTCCAAAATGTAAATCTTTGTTGAACCTTGCTCTACAAAATGGTATCTTAGACTCGACGAAAGCAAGGGAGTCGTTACCGATCAAACAGTGTTCGCATCTTTTTGAGACACCTTGTAAAATACAAGTTTCTTAGATCTTTCACTGCTCCTATTGACTTCGTTGACTTTTTTCTTGCAGGAGTTTTGGGCTTGCATCATCTTCGTATGCCTATTTCTAGAGTTCTTTCCAAGGTCTGATTTGAAAAAGAGGTCGTCAAAATTAACAAACGCAACTGCTGTTCACAGTTTTATAGCTTTTGGCTTCGCTATCTTTGTCCTCTCCGATAAGCTTTATTTACCATCTTCAATTAAAATATAATCCCTTTTCCATCCAAGGAATGAAATGTGAACGAGTACTCATTCCAAAAGCTATTTCATGTATGATTGGTGACTTTGTGGAGAAGAAAATTTTCTAGAAAAAATTGTATGCGAGTATGAACAATTACTGAAGTTACTAAATCATAAGGAATGAGGATAAGGAACATTTGCCATGATAAGTTCTGACATATTTCCATACATATTCCTGACTTCTGAGCACCAGATTGACGTTTATTGACATTTTAGCCAGAAGGAATTTGTTGAAATCAAAAATTATTCCTAAGCATTTCTTATGAATATATGCATAACGCACTTGGAAAAAAGAATCTTTGGAAACTATCGGATTTTTTGATATTGTTTTTCCTCTGAAGCTATCGAAGTTTCTTCTCACAAAAACACAAAAGAAAGATGAGAAAACTGAGTTCAGTAAATGTGCAGGCTAGTTTTGCATTTGTGAGGTCAACATGCAAAGGGACCTTGCGCTCTACATATTAGGTTGGCGGATAATTTCTATTACACATTTTTTGTAGAATTTCGAAAAATTCTGAGCTCTTTAAAGTCTTCAGATCTGCTCCATATGTAGGGCATGGCAAGGCGTACATAACAACATGACTGACTTCGTAAGTGCACAAATAATTCGCAAGTTTACGACAACTTTGTAAGCACATCGAATTTGTCATTTTCTCTTCTTTTTTTCTCTGCGTCTAATTACGTTTCTTATCTTCTAAAAAAAATTTCAAATCGTGTTTTTGCACTGTCTCTTTTATGGCAGCACTTTAGTGCCGCTAGCATGCAAAAAAAAGTGCGAAAAGGAAATTTCAAAAATTAAGATTTTATCGAAAAAATTCTTGTGTGCATCCTGTATGGTTTGATACGAAAAGCTTGGAAATGATTTTTGTAAATTTTTAAAATCTGTTCTTCGTATTAGACTGACACGGTGCACCATGTAGCTCATGTAAACGTGTGCGGATAAGATCGTGAGCATATCTTTCCCAAACACCACATCGCCCATTCTCTTCCTGATCACCTGGAAGAAAGTCAGCCCGTTGACAAAAATGCCCGTAAAACGTACTTCCACCGATAAAGTGAGTGTTCTGCGCACGGAACACAATTTGACAGTACCGGTGTGCAAATTTACGCAGCCTCTCATCACTGTTTGAACATAAGACTTTTCGACGCAAAACCTAGTACAAAGCGGAAATGAAGGCCTCAAAAAATTTTGCTTTTTTAGGGTGAAATAATGAGCCAAAACTACGCAACTGTGAGGTTAAAGTGGAGGCAGCGTTAAGCTGATGCGGAAGAGAGCATGCACTGGGCAAACGTGAGATGTTCTATAGTTTGGGTGTTGTGTTGTAAGGTAGATGGCACTTGGTGATGGATGCTCAGTATACCAAGCTGCAGTACATGGTCTTAGGCAGTTACAAAGTCTTCTCTTAGTTTTTGAAAACTGTTCTGCAACTGTTCCTGCATGTTCTGTCTTAACCATGCTCAAAAATAGAGTAATTGATCAGGATTGTGAAGGAAAGCAGTTCTAGTATTCTTTACAGCTGTTTTTGCATGTTCCGTGATCGAAGGTTGGTGCAGAAATGATGTCTGCAGCCTACATTTGCTATTAAGGCCTCGGGCATACCTCACGCGATTTCAGTCGCCACGCGATTTGGCAATATTCCAAATGTTCATAACTCATCCTACGGGGTTTTTGAATGTACGGAAGAAGGGGCATTTTATCAACCTACAAAAGTTATACATGCTGTGCATTTGAGGTCTTCCAGTATGGAATTTGAGGACATATGGCAAATTGCCAGATCGCGTGGCGACTGAAATCGCGTGAGGTATGTCCCTTGCCTTAGGCATGCGAATATTGATTGATACGTAGGAGCACCCTTCGATAGAATGAAGCAAGCTCTACAAAATAAATACAAAAGATATACTCTTACTCTTAATCCACATAAGTTTTAAACTCGAAATCGTGAACAATTGACACTACACCAATAATCAGATCTTTGCCTGGAGAATCCCTGCAAGCTTCCTAACTGGTCGTTACGATCATTTCCTGCAACTCAGGTGTCGTATGCCACAAATCTTCCTAAGCATGTCTATGAAATTACAGCCTTGCGCCATTTGGTTTTCGAGAAAATTTTAGCATCATGAATCTGTGAGCTATGGACATTATTTTTGCACCAACCATTCACAATAAGTCGAACCTGAATACCTCCAGCAGTGTCTTTAGGATTAAATTCTTTTACCCCGCTATTTTGTACCTCTGTTAAGTTAGTCCAATCTTGCAATCGACACTTCTTTCCCACGTTGCTCACACTGTCCATATCATCCGGGTTAGGTAGCAAGGACATCTTTCTCTTATTTGCAGTCACAAAGCCCTCGTCAGAAAGTGAATTGCCATTTTTGCAATTCGTTACTGCTGTAAAAAGCAAATTTTGTATTGTGGCGAAGATTAGGGCCTTTGAGAATGTCGGCTCAATTTCCTGTTTTAAAACACAGAGAAAACTTTTCCTACCGAACTGTGAAGGAGGTGTGTTTGGATTTCAAGTTTCTACTCAATGTCTCAGTAGCAGCGCGGCATCATCTATCGTTTGCCTCCTTCATAATCTGCCGTAACAAGGTAAATGCAAGATATAGCATTAATGTTTGCTGTTTGATAGATCTCTTCATACACAAATTCTAATCAAGTCATAATTATGAAACTTAAAAGCACTGTCCACCCAAATTCTCGACTTCCACGTTTTTGCCATTCCGTGGCCTTTTCATGTCCCCGATTTCCAATATCAAGTTGAGAATCTGCGAAAATCGAACAAACCCCGTTCCGCAAAACCGAGTTCCTCTGGAACGATAATTGATTGGGTGCGCAAGGATGGGCGGGGCGAAGTCACGCCCATTCAAAGAGTAGGAGCCAACATGGAAAATCCGCCCTACCAAGCGACCTTCGAAGCACTTTTCTTTTTCGGAAGCATCTTTGGCAGCGCGAGTTGGGCAAGTATGCAGTTGAGGGTCCCGCTGTTTTTAAGCATCAAAATCTCATTGACTTTATTTTCGGTGGACGGTGCCTCGAAGCTTCTATGAGACATTAGTAAATAATAGCAGAAATAACTGCATGCTGACTTTAAACTGAAAACGTTGAAAAAAGTATTGTAAAGCAGATTACTCTTTTGTAGAATTGATTTGTTAAAAAACTTTTTGTGATACTGATTAAAAATTTCGCAAAAAACTACTATACAGCAATCAGGTACTTGCATCTTTTCGCAGTATGAATAGCGGTATTAGCACCAATGTTTTTCATTGAATATCTATCAGAAATGCTACGGTTTCTCGACATGTGGTCATAGAGATCAAATTATAAAATAGTTATTGTCTTCTTCACAAAATCTAGGAATGTGTTTTTTACACTCTGTGTGAACATGTTTCTAAATGTGAAAAAGACAAGAATTCGTTTGGATTGCGGCGCGGAATTGTCACCCAACTGCGACTCAATCACTTGTTGCAGCTCATCCTTAGACTTACAGACAAGCAACAAAAACGTAAATATCGATTGCATTCTAGCAGGATAACCACTTTTTACATTTTTTACAAGGCAGAAATCCGTAGTTTCACGCTAAAAAAGCTATAAATTATAAATATAAACAGAGAAAGTGGATTAGGTTGTGTGTTGCATAAAATTCGATCGCCGAAAAGATGTGTCAGTGAGTAATGTCAACATTTTTCATTTTAGAAACTTCCTTTCATGTGTAGAAATTTTGTTCCTTTGGCGTGAATAAGTCAGAATGTCATACATCTGCTTCATAATTTACATTCGCGTCTGCTCGTTTTAAACTTCAGCCTATTTTACAAAATATTACATCTAAGTATTCGCACATTTTTTGCGGATATTCTTACCATTAAAACCAATCCGCATATTCGCAGTAACGGTATTTTATAGTTATACTCTCACCAACTGTGACTTCGCGAGTCACTGGGGTTTGGTTAGACTGCGCAGTCTGGCTCAGCCTTTAAATGCCACGAAATCGACGATTTTGAATCTGCAACCACTTTACTCAAGCTTAATATGAGTAAAACATTGTCGCCCTCAAAGCGACTGGTTGGTACACGAACATCACTTCCAGCTTTAAAATCCACGCCTCCAGCAGTTAGGACCAACTGAAAACATTGTATGTACCATTCGTTCGTTTTGCAAATTTTGTAGTCAAATTCTTACCGCATCTTCCACCCACACAATCAGGGCCGACTAAAAAACATTTAGTTATCGATCACTAAGCTTTACCATCAAACACTTACAGCACTGCGGTGATCTTTTGAACATCTTGCCGCCTTCCTTTCCACAATCACAATCGTCGGCTAAAAAACATTTGGTTATTGATCACTAAACTTTATCATCAAATACTTACCCCATTGCGGTGCTGTTGAAGCGATGGCCAAAAGTGACTGTAAGACATATGAATTAACAAGAACTACGAATGTATGTGATTAACAAACCGCCACAATTAGAAGAAGCAGCTTCATGCTCTTTGCAGAGTTCAATAAGTTTGCTGAAACAATACATATTAGTTTGTCCATATTAATGCAGGTTTTGAATTCCACCGCAACAAGTTACACTCTCCATTTTTGAGTAGGTTGCTAAACACCATTCTATAGAGCAAAGCAAGCTCTACAAGATGGCTATCTTGCTTTAGCAACAGCTCTGATCCACTACGAGTTTCGAGCCAAAAACTAATGATTCAACTGTCCGAAAAATTGAGAAAAATCGTAACTCTATTCATAAAAATCCTACAAAATTCCAACTTGCTCACGTAAACACATTCCACATAGGCATCTATATACGCCGTTGTCGTATTTTTTCTCTGTTAAAAATCAAGCAAAGGAAATTTTCGTGCATTTTCCAAAGTGGTCTTGTGCCGTTTTCACATAAGTAGTTGTATACTACAAACCTGGTTCTCGAGAAAATTTAATTTTAGCTTAGACCACATGACTAATGAAAGCTGCATTCGATCTCGAGAACTAAAGCTTGTAGAGAGCTGGAAATTTAGGTTTGTACTTCTACAGGTTTGTAGTATACAACTACTTATGTGAAAACGGCACAACACCACTTTGGCAAATGCACGAAAATTTCCGTTTTTTTTTTATTTTTAACAGAGAAAAAATACGAGACGGCGTGTATAGATGCCTTATGTGGATTGTGTTTACGTGAGCGAGGTAGAATTTTCGTAGGATTTTTATGAAACGAGTTACGATTTTTCTCAATATTTCGGGCAGTTGAATCATTTTAGTTTCTGGCTCGAAACTCGTGGTGGATCAGAGCTGTTGCTAAAGCAAGATTACCATTTTGTAGAGCTTGCTCTGCACTATCGAAAGGTGTTTTGCAACCTACTTAGAAATGAGAAGTGTAATACTTATTGCGGTTGGAATTCAAAACCTGCATCAATTTTCGGACAACCTAATACAAAGCTACTCAAAGTTTTATGCATTTTGTTCAAAGATGCTATAGTACAGAGTAGGATAAACTCGTGGACACTACAAAGTGATTGTTGACTTTCAGTGTTATATTAGCGGATGCGTTATCTAAATGCTGCTTCAACTTTGCTTCCTTTCTCAAAATGTGATGAAATGTTAAATTCTTAATATTTGTGAGATCTCTGGTTAACTTGCAAAATGGAGTTTACGTATTGCGAAAAGGATAAGAACAATAAAAATTTGCCGTTCTATCTCCGAGAAAGCAATTGAAAGTTAATGTAGAGTAGAGTAAATACTTGCGTCAAAAGTTTTGGAGATCTTGAGTTTATATTGTGTACAAACGTCTCAAAATTGTTTACCAATATAAGCCACTGTTATGTGCGTTCGGAATGATTTTTGTACGGAAAACATTGTACAGCTTTTTTACTCTTGTGTTTTTAGCCGATTATATTAGGTTGTCCCATAAGTTTTTTCATATTCGGACATTCAATTCGATTTTTCTCAGGAACTACAGCACCTAGTAGGCTGCAAATTTTTGGCAGTGGTTCTGAGCGAATAAGCTATATAATCACCTACTTGCGGGGAATACAGAAGTGATACAGGCAAAGTTTGAAAATTGAGCGCATTATTTTTTTCTTGGTTTCTAGCCATCAGAAAAATGCAGCAAGTGCATTTATAAATATCCGATGAGGAGAGTATATGCATGAAAAAATAGGAAATTTGCAGAGCTGTTTTGAACTGAGATATGATGATTTTCGTTTTTTCGGAAATTCGGGAAAATTTTTTATTTTGGCTTGGAGCATGTTGCGGATTGGACTTGGTGCGAACTTTTGAACGCCATCTTGTAGAGCTTACTTTGATCTGTCGAATGGTACCCTGCAATTTATCAGGAGTTCAACAAGAACTGATTTATGTCGTTGAAAAGTCAGGTATGAAAAGACTTATGGGACAAAATAATAGTTTTTCAAAGGATGCCTGGCTTTGAGATCTATAGCATGGACAACACCGCTCGCTTTTCATCACTGTAACATCAGACTAGGAACATACAAAAAACGTTATACTAATCAACCTCTTTCTGCAGCGAGGTTTGAAAGGCTGGTACATCAAACACACAGCCGTAAAGTGATCTTAATAAGATTTACTGGATTTCAGATCATTTCAAAGCTATTCGATCTCTGAGGCATTTTCTATTGTCTATCAGTAACAGCACTGATGTTGACATATTTATAGGAAAGGAGCGGCTTTTCTTCTAATTTTTATAGGAAATCATAATATTCTAGAAATACTTTTTTTATTCAGCCAGTTGTTTAAGCGCAAAAAGACTTCATAAAAGTTGTTAGCAATTTCGAAATTTATTGCGCGTATTCAGCAAAAAAGGTCCGATTTGAAATGCACAAGTCACCTTTTTTCAAAAAGCTTGCGCTATGTTAGATATGGTATCTGCTGTACGCCTAAAAATGAAATATTTTTTCCTTTCCTCAAATTTAATCAGTCATTCAAATACTCTGTTTTGAGCCTCAAGCTCTTGAGGATTGAGAATCACAATATATTGATAACTCGACTTTTTGTGCAATCTTTTCAAACCACTAAAATGCAAATGAACGATTGCTAAAATCACACTGAAACAGATATTTGGATGGTAAGACTTACTATGAAATTTTAGTTAGGTTATAAGAAGCCTATGACTGTACATGTAATATCTTCGGAAAGAGACATTTAGAACACAGTCTAAGTTTCACAAATTTTTGACTCTAATCCTCTGAAGAGTGTGAACAAAACCAAAAAGTATAAGAAGTTGCCATATTTATTAACGGATCCACAGGGTTTGAGTTTGCTACTCACTGGGTTCGCTCGCACATTTCGATTCAGTGGCTTTTTGGGCTTTCGGGAACCCAATGGATAGGCTGCCCACTGGGGATTGGATCCACTAGCGCATTTGTTTGACCTACGCACTAGGTTCCGAAACTCACTGGAATCGCTGATGAGTACGGCTAATGAAACCAACAAACAAGCTTACAAAACAGGCAACTAATACGTATTGTACAGGCGCGCATATTTATATCCTAATGAGACAAAGATAAGCTTGCAATGCATTGTTGTTAATGTTTGTAATCAATCGACGTTAATGCGTTTTAACATACTTGTATGTAGCAAAGGCCTTCCTTAATCGAATGCTGACTACCAATAAGCTCTTAAGGCATTACATACTCGAGGGACGTTAAAGATTTCATATGCGCGTGCCTGTAAATGAAATGGAGACCTTTGTTAATTGAATGTTAGTAAGCACCAAGCTTTCTAAATACGAGTCACTCAGATCGACCAATTTCTATTGCTGAATGTAAATGGGAAAGACTTTGTAGGCTGCTGCTAAAAGCTCTTAAGGCAAAAAGCTTGGATTAATCAAAATGCTTCCGATGTAGAAGCATCAAATTGTCAGCTTCATAAAAATGGTTCCAAGGTTCAAGGTTGTGAGGAACACCTTGCAAAGTTTCTGTGGAAAATACTGCATTATTTGAAATGTAGCAACTTCATTGGATCATTATGATTTCTAAGCAAAACATTAATCGCTGAGCTGCGCATATGCGCAGGCTTTTGTGCAAAGGATGGGAAGATTTTTTATGCTTTGCTTTTTCAAAGTTTAAACTGGTGGAAAAAATATGACGGAAGCATCTGGCAGGCGTAAACTGGACTCTCATCACTTATGAAGTTGATATTACGAACAACTACGAACAACCATAAACATCAATCTTCCTGTTGCTCTCTTTAAATGCAAATGATACTTTTAGCACAAGAAACCACTACACACATGCTTTGGTCAATTTTCGTTCTTGAATTCTGACTTCAAAAAATTTTGCAAATGTGCCTACTTGCATCATTTTGTGTTCACTTTGGTTGACCTAGTGGAAGCTTTGCAGATTTTGGGCTTAGATGCTGTTCTTATTGTAATAAAAAATTTGGAGCTTTGGCTTCACTTTATGTGGATAGCGATGTTGACGATTAATGCGGCTAGTCATGTTGTAATCTTGTATATTATCGAACAGTTTCACATTTCTTGTGTTTGCACTGCCTTGATAGCATCAAAGGCATATGGTCTCAGTAACAATCGGACCGTTGATACAGATACGATGACTTTGTAAAGTCATATTTTCTTTGAAGTAAGAAACATCTTCACAGATTGTGTCCAGGGCTCAGCAGAGGTGGCGCCTTCACAAGCTGCATATCGTTTTCTGAGAAAGAAGCAAAAGGGAAATCGTAAAGTTCTCAGAGGGAGTTCCGGACCCAATAGGATAGCAAGCATATTACTTACTTACTTAGATACATAGATGGCCCGGCTTTACGTGACGTGCGGGCCCCAGCTCAGAAGTTTCATTTTTCCCTGTCCCTCGCTTCAGACATCCACGATCTTCTTGGCTGACGTCGGTGGCTGCGTTCACGAGTTCCAGGTGCGGTAATCGTATCCAGTACTTTCTCAGCTGGTCCCTCTACGCACACGTCTTCCCATCTCGTTGGTGGTCTTCCTTGGGGACGTTTTGCTTCGCGAGGAATCCACTCCGATGTTCTTAGTGTCCATCTGTCGTCTGTTCTTCTCATAATGTGACCGGCCCATCGATGCTTCGCTTTCGCAACGTAATCCGCTGGGTCACAAAGACGGGACGTATTCCTCATATCCGTACTGCGAAGTCCGACGAGATGTTGTTTGTGTCGGGTCATCTTCAGAAGACTACGCTCTAGCGCTCTGTGGGTGGTCCTTAAAGCTTTCGAAGTGGCTAAGGTGTCAGCCCAAGTCTCAGCTGCGTAACGGAGCGCCGGGAGAACGGTTGAGTCGAGCAGATGGGCATGAAGGTCCGGGTCCGTCAGTTGATCGGTGGCTTTCTTCAAAGGCCCAAAGGCGGCCCAGGCTGCTCTTCTTCTCCTTTTAAGTTCTTCCCTCAAGTCGTTCTCCATGTTCATCGAACGTCCGAGATACACGTAAGAAGACGTCTCCGTGATAGGGGTGCCTTCCAATTCCATTTCTGCATCTTTTTGTGTTTACACCCGCTTGATAGCATCAAAGGCAACATATGTTCTCAATAACAATCGGACCGTTGATACAGATGCGATAGCTTTGTAGAATCTTCTTTATGGAGTGAGGAACATCTTTACAGATTGTGCCTTTCTTGCCGAATAGATAAGCTATTTCAATCATACCGAAAACGGTTCGATCTGCCTTTGGTGTGATTTTTGCGGCTTTTTCGGGTAATCTTTGTAGCGGTCACTATGGCAAAAGCGATTATGATTTGTCAAGATTTCAATCAGCAAAAAAAAGAAATAAATTTATTTCATTTTTGTTACGCTCAAAAGCATACGTGGTTCAACGTAGATACTTATTGTTAGAGGAAGTTAGACGTCCTAAAAGTCAACAAAAAAGAGTAAGGAAAAACCAACAAATGAAATGTATTTGTCGTCTCAAAATTCTCCTTTTTTGAACAAGCACCACATCACGCAGAATAAAAATTTATAAGATATCTTGGTACATTCGATGCAGTTTTTCATGTTCTGTGATATAAACAATATATCACAGATCAATAATCGATTTTTTTAGCAAATTACCAAGAACTGTGACCTCTAGATCTGCCATGGCCAAGACCGGCTTTGTTTCTGAATTTTTGTATGCTGACCTACATAAATTACAATCCATAATTTCCACTATTATCATTCGATGTCATCAAATTCGATATATGGTCAATTCAGAACTCATAAAGCAACAACCGGCGAGCATTTCGGGTGCTGTTCGGTGCAACATTTTCTCTTTTAGAAAATTTTTCATTCTGATTCGCAAAATCTTGCGGGCAGTTTAGCAAAATTTATACTTTTAAAGGCTCCCCAAGCTGTACGCAGAATATTTAAGGATTGATATTTTGGATCCATGAACGCTCTTTTTATTCATAAAATCAATGCTGAATCATACCCACTTTAGAAAATATTAACAATTAAAAATCTATTAGAGTTTGACGAGTCTGCGCCTCATATAGGTCAACTAAAAGTCCATGGTGTTGTTAAAAACTCTGTCAGAATCTTACGAAGAGTTGTCGAGAGGAGAACAAGGTTGTATTTTTCAAAGGTTCGCTTCAGAGTTCCTCCCTGATAATAATTTAATCTATGCCTAAAATTTTTCGGGGAATCAGTACAAAAATTCACAATGAGCAAGACTTGATCTTGGTAAAGACTATGAATTGTAATTTGGTAATATTCTGAGAGCTTGTTCGTTGAACTGCAATATAAAAATATCATTTGAAAGAGCACGAATACTTTCATCGAATGTCATTAAGACCTTTTGTAAATTTTTGTTCCGCGGACTGTGGCATTTGATAAAGGAAACGAAAATGGTCCGAACAATCTATGATATCATATGGCAACTATGACTCAATCATCCAGGTCTAATTTCAACTTTTTCACCCTCGAACAAAACAAAATGAAACAAAACAAGAGCGTCATACAAATTTTATCTGGAGTAAAATATACCATTTCATATTCTGGAGCGATCCTCATTAACACTGACAACTGCATGGGACTGTCCGTCGAGCATTGACTGCTACGTAGGACCACTTGCCAACCATTGGTTAACCAAGGCTTGATTTTCGGTCGAATGACGTCTCTCTTGGAACAATCTCATCCTAGGAGATTCCTTTGGTCCGGACCTAAAGATAACCTCTATATTGTTGCCAGCCTTTTTGCCATCTACACTCTACTACAGGTAGAGTGTAGATGACTGTATGCGTAATTCTAATCGAAAAATGTTAACTGTTTTGTGGAATGCCCCGTTCCTAGAAAGCAGGCAACCAAAAATCTGCATGATTGTTGATATGTAAAATGTATGCACTTTGCGAAAAAAAGGCTCATTTAAGAACTCACTGCAACAGCTGTACATCGTCCCAGTATGTCTGTAGGCTCCCGAATTTGTGCAATTTTGCGCGTTCTCCGTAACATTACGTCAGCTAACGTGTCCTCTCACTTACTCATCAGCAACTTAGAAATAAACTTGTGTCTTGTTGCCAACATACTGGCTGCTTCAGCCGTATCGATGCCTATCACGCAACCGGGACAGCTCATGCCCGCAGCTGACCGGCCGCTCGGCTGTGTCAGTTCACCTTGCATTCTTGCAACGCTGAAGCAAGTGAACAAGTAAGATCGTGAGAGCAATTCAAAGAGCATCTTTGGACGTTGACGACGGCGTCGCGCAATCGTGCGCGACACCCTAAACAACAGACCTAATGTGCACAATGGTTCCGATTCGTGTTCATATAAACAATTGAGGCTCAAAAATTGACAACAGTGTCGTGCAATGGCGTGCGAAAGGTAGTTTGTCCCTGTGGACGATGTCGCGCGTGGTGCCCTAAGTAACATTCTGATGTGCACAATGGTCCCAGTTTGTATTTAGAAAATCAATTTATGCTCAGAAATTTTTCATGTTGGCCCGTCCCTCTTGTGCCAAACTCCGCTCACTCCAATTGCATTCTGCTAGAGACATTTTTGGTCACACGCAAAGAAGAGGTCGCAAATGACCTCCTGGAGCTTCAAGCAGCTTTGATTAGACACTGCGCTCCCTTCAGGAAGGCTCCGCCCTTCATTGAGAGGCCCCCTCCCACATTTCAAATTAAGTCGGAATTTGGACAACTTCGTAGATTTCAAGTTATTCCCAGCATTTTTTGAGGGGCGGGCGGAGATTCCCACAAGGGGCGGAGCTACCCCGCCCATGCGTTCATATTTACGCATAGTTGCATGCATATATACAAACAGCCAGGCGTAAAAGTGCACGGAAACACCTCGTCCACAGGGACAGACTTGAAAAAAATGGCTTGTCGTCAGCTTGTTAACTACTGGCCATTGAATAGCTGGTAGAGTTTACTCGATGTTTAGATTCTTACTTGGTCATCACTAAAATCCAATGCTGCCAAGTAGTTACGTGAACGGTTTCGTTAATTTCAATTTTTTTAGATATATTACGTGGTATAAAAACCGGTAACGCAATTTATGTAGA